GCCACAATAATAATAATAATAATAATAATAATAATAATAATAATAATAATACATTTTGTTTATAGGCACCCTTTAAATCACTCAACGACACCTTTCTGGCACATTCAAAAAACAAGCAGCAATATAACATATCACAAATTCAAACAAAACAATAATAACAACAACAATATGTTAATGTGACAATTAGGTATAAAATCTTCTTCATCAACTATAATGTTAGGTTTATTAAGTGTCAGGGGAAACCAGCGGTGACACAGCCACAATTTTATTTGCAGCATTTAACCAATTTCTTAAGAGAAAGCCCGATATAGTTTGAACATAATGGAGGATTCCCATGGTGCCCATAGGATTACTGCTGTGTTCTTAGTAACCCCTTTAACTTTGTGCCACACACACACACATATATATATATATATATACACACATATATATATATACACACATATACATATATATATATATATATATATATATATATATATATATATATGTGTCCATTTTGGACATTCCATGACGTGTCTTCCTCATCAAATGTTCCTTTTAAACAGAAGATGATCTAATAGGGAATCTACCAAAAGGTACTAAGCACATTTCAGTTTCTCCAGAAGATATTTGGATTTCAATTACCCACATTATCTTTCCTTTAGTGCCACCCTGAGGATAGATTTCACATTTTTAGCCACGCTACCGGTAAGACCAAACAAAGCAAAATCATCAGTATGTTGAGGCCTGTGAGACTTTTAGGCCTTTGGTTTCACAGCGGTGTGCTACAGTGTCATGTGCGAAGCAGAAACTGCATTGACAAGGTGGAGATCATTCAAAATAATGATCTGTGTGGGTTGACCCTCTACCAGACATCCCAGCTACAGATATCATGAACCTCATCACAGTCAAATTTCAGTTCAACAGCGAGATCCATCAGACTCCAGACAAACTAATATTCACTTTCAGCTGCTGGAGGACGAACACTTGCTCCATCAGCTGTGAGTAAGAACATGTGTCCACTACACCCTAAGTATCTCTCTGCCTACAAATAACAAGCCCCAATATGAAATTTGGTATGGATTATGCCAAATATGTCTCAAAAGGGTAACCAGACCTGTGTTATAGTTTTCAGGACTGCATGAAAAATGAAAGCAACAAATACTGAAACAATAAAATATTCAGTTTACTTACATTATCACAGCCCAGCATAACATTCTAAAGGGACTTAAAACAACCTGTATCTGGTAGGTTTAGTCCTTTACATTCGTTTATGCGGCCAAATTTCTAACATCACCATAATATTTTAAATAATTTCCATAGTATTTCTCTCATCAGTATTCATATCTTCTGACTTTATCCACAATGATCTTACTCTTAATTTATCATATAGAGAAATAAGTTCTGTTGTAGCAGTGAGTCAGTGAGCGTATCATAGTTTTCTCTTACAGTACACAACAAGTATAACATTATAGAGCGTGTCAGCATCTGGTCCACAAGTAGGAATATTTGTGTCAGGATCGTCCTGCCCCGCGGTGGTGTGGCCCAGTGCAAGTGGGACAATCCACACCGCTGTGAAACTAGAGGCCGTAGCCATGTATTGGTTCTCGGTGATGTCTAATCAAAGAACACAGAATGATTCACACAAAACAATTCTAACACATACAGGTCATTGAATTAAAAAAGACTTTTAATGTTGTAGATGCATATGTTAAATTATTGAATTATTTATATTTTACTGAAATATTCTATAATAAATGTATTTGTTTAAGAAAGCAGCCTTCTGAGAACCTTTGTAAAGTCACATTGGTGCTATGGATAGGGACAGTTATCTGTCATTTGGAGATAACTGGCAGCAGCCGATGCCTGCGCTCATGAGACCGATAAAAAAAAGTTTACATCTCCAGGCTGGCTAGTTTTATGAGGAGTACCATCTTGACCTGCTCCATTTGTAAAGTGTCCTGAGATGACTTTAGTTATGATTTTATACAAATAAAACTGAATTGAAAGATTGTCATTGTGGCTGCTGTTGAACGATGTTAGCGCTCCCTTGTGAATCTTGTTCGTCCTGCTGTAAACCAATATTTTCTCAGGTACCATCGATTTTGCTGAATGTTAACACATTTCTCCCTTCCTAAATAACATATAATCTAAAACCCTTAACAGCTAGAGTCAAAAATATATTAATTTTGTAATGTATAGAATACATTCTCTTCTGACATACTGTAAGCCGCTCATGGTCTGAAATCTACAAAATAACCCAATATATTTTTCTATTTCATTAATTCATAAAAATTCCATCTAAAAACAACAAGTTACAAGCTAAAATAACCATGTATATTAGACTGCAATGTGCATGGAATAATGGAAATATACATTACTTTCCTTTGTAATCTACAATATATGTTGGCTTTTAGTCGCCCTGCTCTTTGCATTTGGCTTGGCTGCCATGTCAGTAATCTGTAATCAGTCATTTTCCCCCTCCAAAATTGGTATTGCTTTTAAAAATCCCAAATTAGTCGGGCTGCACTCTGAGCAGAGAGGTCAGTATAAAGGAACTGAAGCTCCTCCTCTCAGTGGCAGTTAGCAGTCCTCCACTCGCCTGACGTCGTGACAAAGCACCGGCTGAGCTCCCACATCTCCTTTTAATACTTTGCACACCGACATGTCTTCTGCTGCTCTCATGTGTCTGCAGTGAAAGACGACTAAAAGAGAGGAGCTGAAGCAAAAAACGCTTTCTACCCTCCGAGCCCGCCAAGTCAGTTAAATGCCACCAAGTCAATCAGCTGAGTGGAAGCGAAACAGCTCAGCTACCGCTAAGACACAGAGAGACATCAACCCCCACCCCCACCCAACCTCCACGCCCCCCTCTCCTTTATTTCAAACACCAGCACAGATAGATAAAAAACCTAATCTTTAAATTCCAGATTCCCTGGCCTTTTGTCTGTGTGCCGGGGATTTGGATTCAACCCAAATGGAATGTAAATTCCATATTTGTGAGAGGTAAAGAAGAGTGCTCCAAAGTCAAAGATGGAGGGGGGAAAAAGACAACAAATACACTAAAGCAAATTACCTCTGATCTGAATTAATTAAATGGGTGGGAAAAAAAGAGTTCAGCGACTTTCTTATCTAAGTGGTATTGATGATCTCATAAGGAGTCAGGATTGTGTACCCCTCAGCTGCTGGAAGCTGCTGGTTTGGAAAGCCTGAAGAATGTGCATCGATTGTGAATAATTAAGTACATGACGAGAGCGCAGGAGGGAAAAAAAGCAAAAAAGGTGCCTGAACCCATTTCCTGTGCTGACTGCATGTTCACCAATTACCACAACAAAACAGGCATTATCACTGTCAATGTTCTGTGGCTCCAGACTTATCAAATCACAGGAAATCCAAGTTTCTACATAAAGCAAGTGAAAGTGCCTTTTATTTGGCCTGCGGGCAGGAAATACATGAGGGGAAATGAGTAAAGGGCTTTCTTTTAATAGGAATCAATTTTTGGTCTGGGTGCAGCCAGCTGTAGAGCAATTGAAACACAGCTCTGGAGAAAAATTGTTAGCACAAAAGGATGTGATACAAAACACCTGCCATCTTGTGATTGGGTGAAGAAAGGGGGCTCAGGAGGCACTATTCTCCCTATAGGCGTCCTTATCACTGCCTGCAGGACCCATGCCATTAACCTGCGCCTCACTGGCTAACTGTGCTTAGATTAGCTTTCTGATTTTACAGGCGAGATGAACATTTTATATATATATATATACACATACATACATACACATACACAGCAATCACTTGGAGAGCCAAGCACGCCTACTAAGTCAAACTGCCTCAGAGCCCATGATACCTGGTGTAATAGCAGAAACCATCCTTGGACTAGAGCTGAAACCTTCAAGGTTATGAGAAGGTAACATGACAAATGAATTCACCCTGGACAGGTGAGATCAGTTGGATCATTGTACAAGAGGAAAACAACAAAATCAAGTATGCTTTTTCCAAGCTGGCCTGGTGCAGCTCTCCAAAACTCACTGAAGCCAATTCTTTTTGATTCATTATTTGGTGGATTTTGTCATTTGGTTCCAGACCTGTGAATTACTGGCCACATTTCCAATGTGTTCAGCAGTTCGAGCTCCCCAGCCAATTTTCTTATCCTAGAATGGCGAAGGAATGACCCCACAATGCCTCCAACTGGCTAGTATTGTCTTTGTTAGTTGGGTTGGTCAGGTTAAGGCATAAGGACTGGGATTGGTCAGGGTTAAGATAAGAATTTTAGGTTAAGCCAAGTCCCACCCCTTTTTGCTCTGTGCTCCAATAACAGTTGAGCAAGCCTCGATGAGGACCTCTGTCAACTTCCTCCTTTCCTGTACTTAGATATGCTATGTGCTAGGCTAATCTGTGTTAAAAAGACAACCACACTTTGAAGATGGTTAAAAAGATAAATGCATACAGTCACATCTTAAGCTAGCTAATGTTAGCAAAATGCTAGTTTACTAGCTCGATAATTTACCATCCATAAATAATTAGCTAGCTATTTACATCTGATAGCTAGTTGGCATAACGCTAGGTAACTCCGTAGCCAATTTACATCTAGTTAGGCTAGTTACATGGCGTTTGGCTCACATTAAAACTTAAAATATGACTGTCACTTATCTTTTAACCATCTTGGAAATGTGCTCGTCTTTTCAACATAGACGGGGCTATGCATGTCTAAGTACAGGAAAGGAGAAAGTTGACTGAGGTTCTGACTGAGATTTGCTCCACTGCTATTGGAGCACAGAGCAAAAGTAGGCAGGCCCTGAGGAGGGGCCAGGTAGAGGTAGAGAAGGGCGGGTCATGCCTGCGTCAATCAAGGAAAACAAATATCGCACCCAGGAACTGCAGTGGGCTTTGAGGCAATTTTAACGTGATGGCTTCAGCTGGATTGGCAATAAATAAAAAATGAAATGGTTAGACTGCAAAGTTTTCAATTTTCAAACGTAGAAGTTAACGACAGCAGTGTCAGAGGCTTTGAAGGCGTGCCTTACCTTCACTGCAGAAGCGGCCCTTGTACTCTGTTTTGGAGCAGTCGCAGACCGGCTCTCCATCCACCACTGAGCACGTACCGCCGTTCTCACACGGGTTCATGGTGCACCACCCTTCTGACTCCAGGGGCACCTTAAGGCTTCCCAGGAACAGGGGCTGTGAGATGCCATATTTGAGGTCTGTAATTGTGCCCCTGAGGGGCTGCATGTTTCGCACCGTGGGCAGTGTGAGCGCACCATTGCGGATATCCTGAGGCACTCCACCCAGGAACAGGTCGCTGACTATTTTCATGAACAGACGCTGAGGCCGCACCTCATCTGCTTTGGCCTGGCCATCCAGTACGAGCACTGTGCGCAGGTTATACCTGCTCAGAGTGGCAAAGTGCCAGCTGTTGTCGTCCACCCGTCTGTCGGACACCACCGTGGTCTCAGCACAGTCGATGCTGAAGCGCAGCTGCAGTCGGCCCTCCACCACCGCCAGCTGCAGAAAGTCACAGTAGCCTCCGTCATCAAAGTACAGCAGCAGCGCCTCCGAGGCCTCTGTCTTGAACTGGAAGCTGAGGTCACCGCGGGTGCTGGCGTCCCAGCGGAGGTAGCGTGCCCACTGACCTGGTGTGCCTAAAAATTCCAGTCCCAGACATGTGCTGAGGAACACTTGCAGCCTGATAGAAAAACCTACAAGATCCATAGCTGCAAAAAATATTAATCCAAGAAGGTGTCTGATGGGGAATCAATGAAATCGAACCTTCAGGTGATTAGGCGGAATTTCAAGGATCCACAGTTTTATCCACAATATGTGCAGAGATATATTCAGATAAATATTTCTTATAAAAATATGTTTTTAAAGGGGGAAAGGAGCACTAGTAGGAGAACAGTCGTTGTGGTTAACAGTCTTAAGGTCAATCACATCAGCAAATTGTCCAGTAGGAATGGAGGTATTGTTGCTCTCCTCCTAAGTGTTAAAGAGAGGACCGGCAGAGGGAGAGAGGAGGAGGTGATGTATTAATGAGTTTTGTTTTTTGGGGGTTTTTTACACTTCAGAACAGATGCTATCAAGACTCATGGTGCACGGTCTGATGGAATGGACTTCTCTGGCTATCAGGGCGAGTAGACGTTCCTCCTTCATGTTGTCCACTGTGAAATGGAGCTGACAAGGGATCCAGTGGCCGCTCTTGGTTCCATCACTGTCAGAGAGAAAGAGGCAGAGGGTTACATTGGGTCCATTAGCATTGATTTTACTACTGCTAACACTACAACACACATCCTGGGGTGCTTTCTTGCATGTAAACCCCATGAGAACAGCTCATGACATGTATGTGTACAATCTATATAAGATGTTACATACGTGAAGAAGGTGCCCTGAGAGAATAAAAAAGCCTGAAGCATCAGTGCTGTTGCTATGGATACCTGTGGTTTACAGCACTCAGGTAGAAAGTAACTAAACACAAGTACCTCTTAAGTATTTCCATTTATTGCTACTTCACACTTGTAGTCTACTACATTTATTTAACAGCTATATTTACTTTTCAGATTTAAAATTTTACATAAAAAACACAATGGAGTTCTTAAATACTGTGTATTGATATTGATCACACAGGGTAGGCTTCTACTATTAGGCAATGTAGGCAACAGCTTTAGATTTCTTATGTTGTTAAGATGTGATACATGTACAATTACATTTAAATATTTGTATACATGTTCTATGTATGTGTAGTGTAGTAATGGGAAGATATACAACAATATCACGACAAAAAACGCTCAGAGCTAAGGAAGATGGAATGAAGCTTTGGGCTGTTGGCTTGAAAATATTTGATGATTGATGGTGCTATCCATTTGTCTCGTGAACTCGGAACCCGAGTTGGAAAGTGTAAATCTCGCAGCTATCTCGGGACATTTCACTGAGACACACCCCCTTTTGGTCGGAATTTCAGCCATCCAGCTCGGGGTGCCTCAGGGTACCCCGAGCTGGACCGGGGGTACGTACGACCCCGCAAAACAAAGATGGCAGCGCCCATATTGAGATGTATTTTCTTTGTATTTGTACTACGTTGGTCGTTTTAATGTCGATTTTAAATTTCCCTACACACTGTTTACATTGCTGCTTTAGTCCAGTCACCAATTTATGCATTGCACGGTGTTGCTGTGCGTGCAATACAATGTAAAGTTTTGTTTTCGAGCTGGTTTGCTAAATAGGCTAATGTAACTAACAATAACACTAGCCTGACACTGCCCCTGGTGGCTGCTGGAGGCCCCTGGTGGCCCCTGGTGGCTCAAGACAAACGCCACAGCACTTGTTGAAATGGAAATAGGCGAAAATGGCAAAATATTATTGAAATGTAAGACTTGAAATGACAGAATTAATTGAAATGTTAGTGTTTCTGTAGAAAAACATATTATTTCACATTGAGCTTGTTTAGAAGAGCCACAAGCAATAACAACACAGCTGCTGCACTTCTTTCTGACCCCTAATGCCCAAAGACAAATGGAACGCTATAAGTGGTACAAGCCAGGCAATGACATCACGTTCTCGCGGCAGAACAACTCGGGCTCCGAGTTCACGAGACAAATGGATAGCACCATGAGTCTCATTCCCAGCATCAATTTTTGATGACCTGAGAATCAACAATCAGCTTTCATTCTTGACTGATTGGTTGTTTTTGTTCAGGCCCGGTGTATTCTTGCAGATGCCATTAGGAGCACTAGGAGGAACCAGAGGAACCAGATTTTTTCCCAGATCATCTGTCTCATGTACTACTGTCAGGATACAGTTTCAGTGAATATACCAAAAAATTACCTACCGCAGCTTTGGAAAATTTGAAGCGATGATATTCATCATCTAATAATGTAATATATAATAAGGCATAACTCACAACAGCCAAAAGATTTTACTAGTAATTTATTATAAGTAGTACTTTTATTTTGATTCTTGAAGTACCTTTTGGTGATACTATTTCTGTACTTTTAGTTAAGTAACATTTAAATGGAGTATTTCTATATTGCTGTATCTGTACTTTGAAAAAGACCTGAACACTTCTTCCACAACTGACTTTACCTTGCACATTCGTTTAGAGCACTGTCAAACTGTGAAATATTCTAAATCAACTTTTTTTTTTCTTTCTGGACAGCAACTCCAACACTACTAAAATGAAACTGGTGGGGAGATAATACTAAAACACTGGAATCAACCTATAAAATAACCAGTGTAAAATGCAAACAGCCCCAGATTATTATCTCATTGTCCTCAGAGGTAGTGACAGTCCTGATAGATACAATTAACACAAACTACATTACATTACAAGGATGTTGTTGTAATGAAGATAATACGTGACACATATTGAGCATTCAGTTTCTTAGAAAGAAGAGTGGCTTTATTTTAGTGGACTGTTCACATGTACTGTACTGTTGGCAGTCACCAATCCTAATTAAAAGTGCCTGTGATATTGCTGCATTTTTCCCTCCTCCACAAAGGTTGTTGGGAGTTATCAGTCATCTGCTGCGTAAATTAGCCTCATTATTCTCATGGCAGTGCATGACTATCAGCCAGCCAGGCAGACTGCCTTTATCTGATGACCAGCCTGGAGAGACAACGTTCTGCACACAGGCACAGAGAAACACAAGTAGGTAGTGATGCAAGATCCAGTGGCTAAATATTATTATTTTGTATATATAAAAATATACTTTCATATAAAAAAAATAAAATATTGACACATAAAACTGTCTCCTGAAAGATTACATTGGTACTTCTAAAAATGTAAGAAATCTGCAAAGCTGCAAAATCTTCATTCTAGCTTATCAGTTCACTGTTAACTTATTTAGTTCAATATCCTCAGGCACGTCCTCACGCAGTCGCAGTTTGGTTACAGTTAAGCACAAAAACGTCCACTACTTGGTTAGGTTTAGGAAAAGACCCTAAGTACATACCTGACTTAAGCACATGAATAAAATTATCTTATGGAACGTACCTCACATAACTTACATGTTACTTAAAAGAAATGCCTTACTTTTGGTTTTCACATGGGACACAAACAGTGGTCAGCACAACTACCATCTTTCACAAATAAAGCAGCACTAATCTCTTTTTGGCCACTTGGGGGCAGAACTCCACAACAAGCGCAACGTCGCACATATTTGACATTATTAACAAGACCTACGTTAGCAGGTAGCTGCCTGTTTACACATTCAGCAGACACTGAGCAAAATGATCATTCATTTAGAGTCATGTTTTGTGTTCCCTTGATGAATGTTTTAAGTCCAATATTGACTCTCCTTTTAACTTTGGTTTGGTCTCCAACAACTCCAGAGAAAAATTATTTTACATGTCTACTGGTGCTGGGAAGGTGTACAGTAGATTTACTGGAATGTTTTCACTGAAATCATTTACTGCTGGATACCAGGTTGATGAAAGTGCTCAACCAGAACCATAAAGGTTAAAGCCGTGGAAGAGGCAAAAGAGCTCTGCAGAGTTAGCGATAATAGCACGCAAGATATGAACCCCAGTCACTGGTTTCCAACGCTTTTATATTTACCATCCACCCCAATCACCATTCCCAAAACAATTTTGAGGTAGAACAACATAGCACTTCCAGGACTGAAACGACTGAAAAACGTTGCCAGTGAACATGGTCCAGGCAGCAATTACATTTCCTCCAAAATATACACATTCAGCAGATTAAATATCAAATTAGAAGTGTATTTAAAAAAAAGTTATGTTCATCTGGTGATGGTGGACCATTTTCTAGAAATTAGTGTCAGTACCTTTAAATACCACATAATAGATTAAATAAATTAAAACAAAAATCAAGATCTTCAAATAATCTGACAATAAAACATAAAATATCGTGAAAATCTGAGGGATTCCATTGGGGAATTTAAAGGGAATACCCTTTCATTATATCATGTATTGGTAGTTATCAACATCCCAGGAGAAAACCACTGATGGCTGGTGGTGACAGCATATCACAGCGCAGCTGATTCCAGATGCTGATGTACTTGTGGAGGTACAGGAACTAATCACCTACTGCTGCCCAACACAAAGTCAAGTGCTGTGGGAGAGAGGCTACAACATGCTGGATCAGCACTGTCAGCTACCAGAACAGATCCTCTCCAAAGTGTGCAGTGCAAGTATTTTTTCTTTCATTAGGAAGCAAGAGAGCAACTGTTACTTGGACACAGTTATACTGGAATTGATTGGCAATATTGTAACATTTGTGGAAAATGTATTCTTTACAACATTGTGTTTACATTGGGTAGTGTTACCCGTGCATAGAATTTAAGACAATTTATGTTTTGGTACTTATTCTTCCTTTCAAAATGACATGTAGCTGGTTGCTAAAATCATGCATGTAAGTTTTTCCTCATTAGGGAGGAGCTAAATTCATGCATTTGTATCTGTAGGGTGTTTTTCAAAGTCACTTAACTCTTATCCAGACATGAAATATGTTACATGTTCCAATATAAATGGACAATTGTACTTAGTAATGAGCAGTTTAAATTTCAAAAACAGAAAAAAGCTGTTAAAATGCGGGACAACAAATGATTGACTTAGCATCTTTACTAAGATTTGATTAATTTTGTTTTGTGTAATTATTTTTTATGTTTATGAAACACGATCATCGCTATGAGCGCATTTTCCAGTTTTTTTACTACTACTACTACTACTACTACAATTATCTGAAACTTGTATCTCATGACGCTGTGTCTAAACTGATATTTTGTGCTTGCTTTATATGCCTCAACAGCATTTGATAATGTTGATCATAAAATCCTACAGAAACTACAATCTTTAGGTCGAGATGATGTGCTACTGATGCCTACCTTACAGGGAGAACTCTGTCATGGCTGATGGTGCTGAGTCAAGCCCTCTTACCATTGGTAATGGGGTGCCACAGGGGTATATTGTTGGTCCATTATTATTTACATTACACACACGTGTAAATAAAATTATTCTTCCGATCAGTAAAAACATTTTTATGCAGATGATCCAATTTTATATGGCAGGCTCCATCCCAACTCAGATTGACTTGTGTTTAGTCTGCCTTTGATGCTCTGCTTTCCAGTAAGGACTTCAACTCACATCACTCTTGCTGAGTCACACAAATACTTAGGAATCTGGCTTGACAGGGGACTGTCATCCAAGAGACTTATTCAACACTGGACTCAAAAATTAGAAATCTAACGACTTTCT